AAGGTTCCATGCTACATTATTTACTTCACTACGTATTTCACAGGAAAACTGAAGCCCGGCCAAAAGGAAGATCTGGAATTACCATTATTTGACTTGGCCGCTGTTGTTTGTGCAACCAAAAACTTTTCAAACAACAATAAACTTGGAGAAGGTGGTTTCGGATCAGTCTTTAAGGTAAAATCAAATATAGTCCTCCCTACAGTTAGCTTGACAGTTTCCACATGTCATTTGGGTCAGGACTACGGATACAAGTCCTATATTGAACGTTTGCAAATGGATTTCAGGGTACATTAAAACATGGACAAGAAAAAGCTGTGAAAAGGCTCTTAAAACATTCTAGACAAGGACCCAATGGGTTGAAGAATGAGGTTACACATGAAGAGAAACAGAGGATTTCAATGAGTTGAAGAATAGGTGTGTTGGTGCTAAAGAAGAAATAATTGAACTCTCAGATTAATTTACTGTGAAATTTCCAATTTTTCAATATATGCTTTGGATATGTTGAAACTAGCATATTAATAACTATAAAGTATAAACTAATGGAAGTAGGCCACATAATTTCAAAATTTCTAGGGCACCCTTCTTTGCAAACTCACCAACTACAAAGCTTATGTTTTGCTTCCAGCGTAATCTCTCTCTGTTAACTGTCTTTCCCGAGCAGAAGGGTACTTGCAATACACTTATAGTGGGAATTCAAGTCATGTCATTCTCTTATGAGAAATTCATCCTATTTTTCTGTCCTTGAAACTTTAGTAATTTGCCTCCCCACTATTCGACTTTAGTATTGATAGCTTACTAATTGTCTTCCCAGCTACTCAACTTAAACTATATACTGTAGGGTTTCTACTTTCTAATCAAGTTTCCAATGCTGCTAATTGTGAGATTTTTTAAGGTGAGAGACAGTTACAGAAAACTTTATCAAATTAATACAATTATCTTCTAATCAGAGTCAAACACTCCATATATAGTGCAGACTAAAAGAAACACACCCCTCACTTGTTCATCAGGTGTACTCAAGGCGAGCAGCCCTGGAATTCTTGTCCTTGTTGACCATAAGAAAAACAAGTTAATTTTCAAAACCCTCAAGTATACCCAGTTTAATTTTCCTTGTAAATGTAAATGTAGCATTTTTGTTGTTGTGGAATGTGTGCAAGTGTCCTGGCCTTGTGACTTCGAGTTTACCCGTAAATTTATTGGACAGCAAACACACGAACCTAGAGCTGATTGGCAAGTGGAAAAATTTGGAGGTGTTATCATTGGGTTCATGCTTAAATTTGGCGAAAATACTTGCACACACACATTGCAAGAATTTTTATGGTTTAGATTTGTCCAAAGGCTATGTTCATGGGCGTGAGGCATTGCCAATTGTGAAGTTGGTGCCTAATATCAAGTACTTAAATTTGAAGGGTGCAAAAGTTAATTGGGATGGTCTTGTCACGTTGCTGCGCAGATGCAAAGATCTGGTGATGTTGGACGCTAGAGATTGTTCTGGTTTCAATGAGAATGACGATGAAATATCAAAGTTTGCGTCTCATATTAGCAAATTTATGTGCGAGGGTTCTGAATTTCCTGAATTTCTTCGTGGTATGGACAATTTTGTTCTTCTTGTTGATGGATACTCATTTCACCTGCATGTGGAGGAGACATGGGAT